TATTCTGCGCTTAGATAACTTTAATAATACATCTTATCACTCTCGTCTAATGGTAGTATTTATTCATTATTTGGAAGTAAGTGTAATAAAATGTAAATTATTACATTTAATATTCTGCGCTTAGATAACTTTAATAATACATCTTATCACTCTCATCTAATGGTAGTATTTATTCATTATTTCTCGTATAATTAGTCACGTTTTTCCTACATGAATTTTCAAATTCGTGATTAATATATTATAATTGAAGAATTTAAGTTTTTGAAATTTTGTAACTGTAATCCTAAAGGTACTTCAGTTGTTTTTATAATGTTAGGGGGGCATTTGGCATTAATGCGTTGCACAGACCACATTTCAGAGCATATATTATACGTAACAAGCGTAAGAAACAATTATAACTCCAAAATATATTTGAAAGTACAATAAAACTTCTAAAATCGCTGTAAGAGAAATAATTCCGTATAAAATTAAGCCAAACAACTTTTGACGGGGATGGGGACAGGAAACGTTCGACCAAACAACTTTTGACGGGGATGGGGGACAGGAAACGTTCGACCAAACAACTTTTGACGGGGATGGTGACAGGAATTCATCGTTGATTTGATGCTTCATTTCAAAAACTGCCAAGTTTGGGGTTTTTGTTTAGGTAACAGTAATTCAAATGTATTGTTGAGAAGCAATATTGTCTTCCCAGTAAAGATCATTTGATACAACTGTTTTTTTTTCTTTGCGGCGGCTTTAACAATTTTTTTTTTATTTTATTCATTTTTGTAGGTTTATCTAATTTATACGTAAGAATAAAAGTAGGGATAATAATGTAAAAATAAGTTCATGGTTTTAAAATGCTGTAGATTAAAAATTTTAATTATTTTTGTTTGTTAGTTAGTTTTATAATACTAATTCTAATACTGGTCTTAGCGGAGATTACCACTACAAATTGATTTATTGCACTGTCACTAAATGTTGCCTTGTCATATGGTGTGTCACGTCTAATCTATTTGTATTAGAATCTATTTTAAAAGTGTTTTTTTTTGTTAAATTTGTGCAAGCTGTTATCGTTTCTAATCCTACAGTGAAAGTAAAATTGCTTGAGTAAGTACAATAAAAATTTGCATTCTTACAGTATTAATGCCTCGAAATTAGTGACATAAAGCTACTCAAGTATTAATATTACGGTTAAGTATTCTTAAAACTACGACTTCTGGGTATGTATTATTTGTTTTGAAGAATGAAAATCGAAGGAAACCTATAAAGTCATAAATTAAACAGTACCAAGAATTAACAAGACTTGATGATAGTTTCTGGACGGTGAAGGATGAAATAGATTAGGAAAGGAAATCTAGTATCATACAATCGAATCATGTATGTCAGCATCAATAATACATGTAGGTGGGAAGAATACATCTCTTCTTCTAAATAAAAAAAAGTTTCTTTAATTTTAACTGTGTCCACTAACTAACCAGATATATAAACATATCGGATATTTGATTTTGTTTTGTTTTCAGAGCAAGTTTAGTACCCTTTCTTTGGGCTTCAAGACGGATAAGCTAACTTTAAGCAAAAGAATAGAACTTCAACAACGCCAAAGAGACACTGCCGAGACGAACGTGGAAAATGAAACAAAAGCTCTGAAAGAATACCTTAATGTAAGAATGTGCATTAAAGAAAGTACCAAAGTTAGGATCTTACGTAAAGCTTGTTTATAATAGATGTTGTACTGACATGTCGTAACTACTTTCAAAGAAGTTGTCAAATTTAGGATGGTTTAATATTGTACATTTTGCGTATCGTAAAATCAGTAATTTTTTTTGCTAGTTTGTGAAAGATAATTCTTTCAAACTCTTGAGTTTAGTATACATCTGAATGAAATAAGTACACAAAATGATGTAAATCAGTTATGTGCGCTTAGGAGAGTTTAATTTAAGTGTTAATTTTTTTTTTTCTTATTGAAAGGAAAAGTTGTTAATTTCTCTGGCGTGAGATTTGTTTTTCTACAATAGAACTAATTTCTTTCTGAAGGTATTAAACCAGCTTAGCACCACGCATGAGATGAGAGAGTTGATTAGCAAGATTCAACAACAGGTAGATGTGGTGCACCGGTCCACCTGTCGCGTGTCTAGTCGCGCCGAAATATATGGCGCTGTCCAACAGGTTTGAGAACTTCCACTCTATCATTAAGTTAAAAGTTATGATTGTTTATAATTATGAATTGGTCACTGCTTAAAATAACGTAAAACGTGATTCCCAAACCTACATCCGACGTGACACTGGAATAAAACGTAGTATGTTACTATGGCAACAGCACAGCTCGTCGCATTCCTAAAATACTGTAAAAAAAAAAATGTAGAAGTAATCAACCACTCTCCCCACAGACACAGACAGAAACGATATAAACCATACTAATTATTCTTCTGAAAAATGACTGCCTAGTCAGTCAACTTCTCGTTCATTACTGTAGAAAAACATCAACCCTCTTGTTAAGATTCTGGTTTAAATTGGGAATACGTAAAAGAATAAATTCCCATAAATCTGATTAAGGCTATCATTTTTCACCTTTTTTTTTTTACCCTTTCTAATTGTAATTCAAAGAAACTTTATGAATATGATGCCATTTCAAAATCATAGGATTTATACCAACCTCCACAAAAGAATGATCTCTATGGCAGTAAGTGGTAGTTCTGTACAGAAAGAAACAACGTCTTAAGTCCATTTTTCAAAGTCTCAGTTAACATTTTTACTTGTTCACTCACTTAGAATGGTTGAGTTTCAAAGCGAAACGATAGGCGAGATATAATAAAACAAAACTGTGCACTTCATCGCGAGATAGTTATCATGAACCACGCTAGTGGTTCACAGTGAGAATCGCAAGGAATTTCACAAAACCCTAATGGAAAAAAATCTGGTCAAAACGGCCCGTTTGTAATTCTTCTTGTTATTCTCTTGCCGACCGACAACAAAAACAGCTTGGTAGATTGCACCAAAATCTTTTGTAGAATACTAAATAAGGTACTATGAAGGCGATAGGGATATTGAAAAGTTGATTTGTTTCTTCTATATTTTACATAAGCTAAAAAAACATTATAATTGTGTTGTAAACAATGTTATCATTACCCCTTGAAGTTAACTACCTACAAATATATATGGTGTTCCTTTTAAAAGTTGAAGTAAAAGGTGATACTCGATACTTCGTACACTACATGTTATGTATGAAGTGAAAGAGTATAAAAAAATTCAATGCACATGATATTAAATCTTGTTGCGCGCGCGCGCACACACACACACACACATGGAATAATTGTAATTACTTAAGACATGAATGAATGTTTAGATGTTTCAGACGTATGTTTTATTTGAAAAAAAACTGCTTTTCTAATGGAAACTGATGTAACAGTTAGGTAACAGCATGAGCCAAAATAGGCGTTTGTAGTTTGAGTAAATCATGTCTACAGTATCTCCGGCCTTGTTTCCTTACTTTTTTATAATCCCTATTTGCAGGTTTTTAAATTCCCGATTTTTTTTAATATTATTTATCATGTTTCTTAAGAATAGAGTACAAACAGTATCTGTTCAAAATCTGCCGTACATAGATAGTTGAAAAATTCTTCCTTATTAAAATAAATATTCAAACGTAGTAACTCTTCTCACAATGCTCTATATGATTAGTAGCTTTTTTTAAAGGTTTATACTTGTTCTACTTGGATAATACTGAAAAAGTTCACATTATTCCGCTTGAGTTGGAATGTTGTAGCTTTTTCTTTTAATCCAGCATTGTATTAATCCGAGGTAATCCAGCGTAGCATTAATCTGAGTTCTACTTGGATAATACTGAAAAAGTTCACATTATTCCGCTTGAGTTGGAATGTTGTAGCTTTTTCTTTTAATCCAGCATTGTATTAATCCGAGGTAATCCAGCGTAGCATTAATCTGAGTTCTAGTTGGATAATACTGAAAAAATTTACATTCTTCCGCTTGAGTTGGAATGTTGTAGCTTCTTCTTTTAATCCAGCATTGTATTAATCCGAGTTAATCCAGCGTTGCATTAATTTGAGTTAAGTGCCCAATAGTTGAAATATGCTTAAAAGAACTAAAAAGATATAAAAGAAAATACATATATATACATAGTTATTTTAGTACTGATATTATTTATACACAAACACGTACGTTAACACGCGCAAATATTTATATACAAACATAGTTATTCTTAAAATACAAGTTTTCTGGGTGCATTCAACAGCTTATAAGAATTTTAATTAACGAGCTCTATCACTTTCGTTATTTGATCGAAACTTATAAACTTAAGCCGTGTAGTTTCGGTTTTAAAAGCCTTTATATTTATTTATTTTATAGGATCCTTTCAATAAATTGTGTTAAATTCCACACAGGAAGAAAGAATGAATCGAGCCTTTGAAGTTATGGTCATGTACGTCGAGAACCTTAAACGAGTGTACGAGAAGGAGCACCAGGAGTTAGAGGAGACTCGACGTTTGTTAATAGAGAATCGTCTGCTGCCTAGCAACAGTAGTGAAGCCGGAAATGATGAGTCCAAAATGTTACGTTCACTCAGGTCAATGTCTATTGGTGGAGGTGGAAAAACTGTGAGTTTTACTTTCACAAAATAACTATTTCAAAAACGTCAAATATGTATTTCATTGTACTTGATGAGTAATGCATTATATTGTGTTCTATAAAATGTTGTATTGTGTACTGTTTCGTATCTATGTAAGCTCCATGTGCTTGTAAAAACTCAATTTTTTTTTAATCGCACATAAAAGTCTGATAAAACGTAAACAACAAATCAAGTAACGGGTATTGTTAATAAACTACACGCGCAAATTCCTGAAAACATTCACCTACAAGCATCTTATTAACTTAAAATGTATTATTTTTCGGTTTCTAATTGACTCCATATATATAAATTCTCTTCAGCATTCAAAATGTCATTTTAATTGTGAAACGGATGAAAATGTTTAACTTAACACTTGTAAAAGTAACTTAAGAGAACGCAAAGTGTATGTTAAGTACTAGATAGTAGGTGTAAACAATGTATCTGTTCTGACGATACATCTCTGTATTCCAGTGTAGCCTTTTCCATAATACTTTAACTACTACACATAACGAAACGATTAATTAGAATTAAAACTCAAGTTTTCAAGTCGCTCGAGAATGTTAATTTAATGATTTCATGCCTTTGTGTTCTGTATAATACTGTTCCCTGGATCTTGGTATTTTAACTAGTCCGTATTGTACGAATTATCTTAAGTTACACATTGTTCGTGCAATGAAGATGGTGCGTTGCATTCTTGCTTTGTATTAGCTTTTGGTATGTTTAAAGCTCTTGTCAAACTCCAAGTTAAAGTGATGGAAATTAAAAACAAAGGTTCCTGTCAAAAATATATTAAAGCAACGTTGTTGTTGTGTTCTGTTTAACAAACATTTTCAGATTATGACGTGTGGGGTAATCAATGAAACTATTTAATTTACGGACTTGTTCCTAGTGACAGTTTCAAAACATCTTGAACACTAACAATTTCTTCTCTAACATAGACACACTTATATTTTCTGTTGTCTTAAATCAAAGTATATTTAATGACATAGTTTTGGTCACAGTGACTTGTACGATTCACTGTAATAAAAGCAAGCTCCTGTTAGTTTTGTTTGTCTGTATAGCTTTTACTTCTGTCAACGCTTAGTATCTTCACTACAACGCCTTCTTTTTTTTTTTTTTTTGGGTGTCTGTCAGATAAAATATTTGTGGTTTGTTGATGTAAATGTCTAGACATCCTCCGCTACTTTCTGCGTGTCAGTATGTTCAAGACCTGCTACAGGTAACTATGTTTTTGTGTTCATTCATTGCTCAGTGTGTTTAATTCTTTGTAGTTTTTTTACTTTTTAAATTGGTTAACTTTCTCATTTTACTTTTTTCTGAATTTAGTTCAATATTTAAAATACTGTAAAATTTCGTTAAGAACTGTTATGGCTTACAGTTTTGAGAACAACGAAAGTTAGCTTGTTAACTTAAAAGCTACTTACAAAATTTAAATTGTAAATAAAATTGTGTAAGAATTTAGTGTGGAGAAATATATGTATACTATTGTTACTTTGGAATACTAGTGTTAGGAAAACTTCCTACTATTAATCAATGTGACAGGATGTGTTTCCTGTCTCATGTTTCTGGGTGTATTGTGCATTTATGTGTAACAATATGTTTTAGTAAATATATTTTAGAATGGTATGCACATTACATCTGTAGTTTTTATAGCTATAAAGAGGGTTTGGGGGGTGTAGGGAAGAGTTTCGGGAGATTTAAAGTTAATTTTCATATTTTTAACATCATAAATGGGGCTCTTCCTAGTAAAAATAACTTACTAATAGTAATCAGCTTCGATGTAGTTTAGAAACTAACAAATAATTGGAAGAAAGTTCTGGGTTTACATAATATACTAAAATAATAACATTAGTTTAAAATGCACTTATAAGTTATTCATGAAATAGGCTAGTCACGTATACGGTTTTTCAACAAAATTTTTATAAAGTATATTATATCTTAAACAAAAAAATCGTTGTTTATTTTTGAATATTCAATCATCAAAAGTTTTGTTGTTTTGCTATTTTTTTGAAACTCTTAAATATAAAGGAATTAACGCATTAAACGTTTATAAATTATTAAATTATGTATTCAGCGTTAAAAGAACAGAAAAAAAGAGCAATTATACACGTCTTTCTATTACTTTGTCAGGACGTATGCAGTGGATCTTTATATTTTGATTGTTTTGTGACTATGGTGTAATTCTTTAACATTGATTAATTGTTGTTGTTTTTATTATTAGATGCATGGTGTATCACATCATTACCTTATGCATGCTACAAAAGAGGTAAACATAACTAATTACAATTTATTGTATTTTCTGAGTACCTTGTTTGGTCTACAAACCGGGGAATTGTAAAAGTCCTTTTCTGTTAACACTTTATGCTTGTCGATTTGATAGCCGCGTACTTGTACATAACAGTGTAAGTAAATCAAATCAGTAATTCAAAAGCGCCTTTCCCTCACTGAACCAAATTCGTTATGTCTTTTGGAATTTCAACATGGTTTGTAGTTTCCCTTCTAGTAGTTCATGAAGTGCATGGTTAACAGTAAGCGCTGATATTCAGTTAAGTGTTTTAGAATCTGAAAAATCGTCAAATTTAAAGATTACCGAAATGCTGTTGGTCTATCTACTTTCTTTAAAGCTATCGTAAAACTGTGACTGATAGGAGAATTCTTTGAGTTTTATCACTTATCTTACTTAAGCTTATGTTCAGAAATAAAATAACTTTCCCGCCAGTATTTTAAATAGGTTCTTTGTTGATATAGCAACGGCTTAGGAATAGGTGATTGAAGTGGGAAAATGAAATTAATACCAAATAAAACGATAACGTAAGATTTATATGACAACCTCTATTTATTAGTTAGTGTTTCTTATCATTAATTTACTGAGGTTAGTAACCTTCAATTTAGATAAACAAAATAAACCATATTCATCATATCAAAAGTAACTTCTTTTTTTTCAATTTGGTACCAACTTTCAGTTTAGCCTACCAATGGTAACAGTTGTAAAATTAGGTTATAAAAGTATATATGCATCCGAGTTAAACCTGTGTTCGTTTATGTAGATAATTATCTCCTTTAGTCACACATGATAACAGCAAACTCGTACCATTTTTTTTTCTCCTTCCAGGCTAGCCTCAGAAGAGCCAGTTTTTCTACTTTGCATCATCATTATTTACCTATTGACAGATCACATGGTTCTATAATTACAAATGGTGTGGTAAGAGCTAAAATAAGGGAATTTTCGTTACCACAGTTCTGCTTATGTTTTTATCAGAATTTCGAAATTTTCAGCACAAAGAATTTTTGAAAGTCGAGTCACAAAAAGCAAGAATGCAACCACCTTTTAATTAGAAAAAATTTACGTATATTTGAATATGTATATGTTAGTTTAAGTTTGGTTTAACATCTGGTTTGGATAAACTCAAACAATTAATTTATCATTTGTAATAGTTGCATGGTAGCATTTTGTATTTTAGTTGGTAAAACAGCGCTAATGATAACTAAAATGTGATATTTATTTCATATATTCACACAATAAAACGTTCAATTTCTATTTATACTATGGTTAACTAAAAATATTTGAAAATAATAATAGCATACTGACGCTGCAGCCTAATGATGAAGTCTAAAGAAATCAAACCAGAAACTGGAACACTTTACTTTTAAGAACACAAATTAACTGTCGTAGATGGATGTTTACTCACTGAATCAGTTTCTAGCCTCATATTCATGCAATATGCGCATTAAATACTAATGGTGAAAATGATTTTGCTGTAATTTTCAAACTTGATATAATAATATTTTCTGGCCCAAACAAAACTACGTAATTAAAACTGAAAAGAAATTAATATATATTAATTTATATTTATATATAGCAAGACGAGTTAGTTTTACAATCCTTTACCACATCTCATTCTCATATTTATTTGTGCTTGTTGTTCTTGGAAATATATTGGATCTTCCACTAGGTGGCATTCTAATTAAAATAAAAAGAAAATGCAACTTTTGACCACGAAACTTTAACTATCCACTAACTATTTAAATGTAATGTTCGAATTTAATCTCATCTTTTATTGTTGTGAATAAATCTTAGAATAAAGTGTGGTTTAAGATTCTTGAAACCGGCCTTAGAATAATCTAAATTTGGTTTGCCCCCTATATTTTCGTAACAGCTGTACTTGTATCAACTCTGGCTTATTTGCAGTCCTGACTTTACCATAGTAATCACACCCGAAACCGTATTTATGGTATAGATTTGAAAATACACGGGCTTTTTTAATTTCTTATAACTCTTCGTTGGTATAAAAAATAAATAAAAAAATATGTAAAAACGTGTTAGGATACGTTAACAATAGTGTTAAAATTTTCTGACATTCTTGATTTATTACATGCCAGCGTAAAGGGAAATCTTCACTTGCCAAATAGGGTGAGTATATTATAAATTTAGTTTATTGTTGTTGTTATTGTGTTTCGTTAGTAGAAGCATTCATTAATTGAAAGTTTCAGTTTACTAGCCAGAAATAGGTTAATCTTCTGTATTAACATACGATAGAGTTATCAATTACATCGCGTTTGTAGAAACCCACATTTGTATTATTTTCAAAAGCTTTCGTGTGATCTTTTGTTTGTTTCACAATTGTAAATTTCTATAATTTAGGAGGTTATATTAAATACTGAAGTGAGCGTGCTACATTTATTCCCGTATGTACAAAACCTTCAACTTAAAACATCAGAAACAAAATCAGAAGCTTTGCGTCCAGTTCCCAGATCGTTGCTTAAGTTAACATATTATCATGCAATCACAAATACCAAATAGATAGATCTGAATTGGACCAAGTGTTCTTTCCCTTAGGAATAAAGAATACTAGAAATAAAATTAACTCGTACAAAGATTTGAAAAGTCCTGTACATCAACATAGTATCTTCTTGTAAGCAACAGTTAAAATATAAACTGAGAAGGGCCAGTTTTATTCATGCTGTGAGGACAGCGGTTTTAATAAGTCCAGCCAAGTTCAAATGTCGGAAACACCAGCGGCTGTTTTTAACCAACATTCGGAACATTCAGAAGTTAAAGTGTTACCATGTTACTTAAATTGTGTAGTAAATATTTATGTCAGAATAAACAAACAGCTAAATACTACAGAAATGAAAATATATACAGTACTGTGTAAAAGTGTTAGGACAAAGCCAAAAATTAGATTTCATTCACGCTACTTTCAAAGAACAATGGAAGGTAAATCACAGGTGAAATCATAATTTTTTTTATTAATATTCATATTTAGTACAACAAAAACTCAGCGGAAGTGCTTGAGTTCAGCAAACAGTTAATATTTTTTGCCCCCCCCCCCTATGCTTTAATAACTGCAGACAGTCTTTCAGGCATTGTTGCAACATATTTAATCAAAGTGTTCTTTGGAATTTTACTCCAAATGACTTGATACACTCCAGTGAAGTTTCTTTTGAAAGTAAATTTGGATTTGTCAAGTTTTTAATCTATCAGATCACATACCTGCTCAATTGGGTTGAGATCGGGGCTCTGTTGGCCGCCATTGCATCATTTGAATGACTCCAGCACCTTCTTTCTTAGCTAAGTAATTTCTGCATAGGTTGGATGAATGTTTGGGATCATTATCTTCTTGGTAGTAAAATCCTTTCCCAATAATACACAAACCAGTTGATGATTGTTATGGACGGACGAGTCCAAGTTGGAAATATTTGGTTCAAAGCGTAGGTTGTACGTCCGGCGGAAGAAAGGTGAAAGATACTTACCTCAATGCCCAGCACTTACCATGAACTATGGTGGGAGGCAGTGTGATGCTTTTGTGGTGTTTTTCTGCTGAAGCGACAACAGATATTTGCAAAATAGATGGAATAATGGACCAGCGCAAATACCATCAGATACTGATCCATCATGGTATACCCAGTGGCCAGTTTTTGTACTTTTTAATCAATTTTAGTCTCTCTACAATATTTGGAGATCGGAGTAAAGGACTTTCTAACTGCTACACGACCAAATATTCTATTCTCGTTGAGTTTTCTTGACATTGTAAATCTGGACACTTTGTCATTTGGTACATTGTCGTTTATGTCATGCTTGAGATCAGTGGCAGTCTTCCCTATGTCCCAAAGGCTGCATAAACGAAGACACTTAACATCAGTATCATTGGGTTTAAGTGTTCTGCCTCTTCCTTTCCTATTTTCAAATTTACCTGTCTCTGTCTCACGATCTAGGGTGTATTTTACAGTGTTTGGGGAGCATTTCAAGTCCACAACAATTTGTCGGTTTTTATGAAGGTTTATTTTTGGAGTGGTATAAAATTGATTTCTTCTAGCACATACCAGTGCCATATGCTATCTTTTTTTCTATATAGTTAAGACACTGCATGGGATACCATGATAGTTATTTCAGACCTTAAATTTGATCAGTATATTCATTCAAGCAGAACCCTTATGACATGTCCTTGGTAAAAGTATATGGGAATTCTAAAAAAAATGATAAATATTCTCACCCTTGCTCATTCAGTCGTCAACAGGGATCAGTGAAGCATTACCATAGTGTTGAAATTTACATTTTATAATGACATGGAATAATTAGCCCCATAAAAAGGAAAGAATGACAAAATATTCTCTTCTATTGACACTGTTTCACAGTACTGTGTTTATATATATATATATATATATTTAACGAGTATTTTCTGCGTGAACGAATAATGATTGTTGTAATTATTGTGGAGTTTGTTATCAGCACTGATTTTAATAGCTATAAATGTATTTATTTTACGTTCGTAAAGTCAAAGTTTCTATTTAACAGAAACATTAAATGTTTATTTATTCTTAGGAAAGCCGAGGTCGCTTACTGAGTACTGTGGTCTCTGCGGTTAGTAGTTTAGGGACAACAACAGGTAATGCTAACTTATCAAATAGACTTTCAACTCATCCTTCATCCACACCACCTAAACAGTTCATGAGTAGACGTAGTTCTTTACCGGCGGCTACTGGGCCTGTGTTTGGTCTTGGTCGTTCATCGATTGCTATTTCCACACTCAACGGCAAGAGCCTACACGCGGAGGACATTCCTGAGCAAGAGTTGGACTACTGTGCTAACGGGGACGAAGGGTGATTAAATGTTTGGATGTACATTCATACATGATATGATGAGATTAAGTTAAATACTGCTACAGACCTTCAACTTACAATGCAGTTTTTCAGTGTTTTGATGTATAGTTAGTTAGCAGGGACTTCGTCAAATGATTCTCGTTATGGGCACAAATATACATTAATTCCAAGAGCTGCAGTCTAATTGAAGGTTAACAGCAAAACAAATATCATTAAGCACAGCCATAACGTCATCAAACTTACTGAACAGCTAGCTATCCTGATTCTCAGTACAATGTGAACATAACTTGTTCTTCATTGAGTTATCGTCGTAACACACGTATCTAATAAAGATGCACCATGAACAGATACGAACACACACGACATGATGTAGTTCAAGAGCTAAGACTGTACGTGCTTGCTCTATAATGATTAGATTCATAGGAGACAATCATTTCAACTTCTGATGAATTAATCACTAAGCAGTTCTTCTCAAAAGTTCCGTTTTTAAGCAACATAAAAACAAAGTGATTTCGTTTATCTAATTAGACTGACTGCAAGCGGTACTTCCTCATATTAGTTTGAAAGAATTTCGGAGACAAGTAGTGCAAAATTAACCCCGCCTGGTCACGTTTTCTGACTACGATTCTACTTTTTTTGTATTATGCTCGTTAATAAGAAAAGTAAATCATCATAAACCTTGATTGTGTGGGTGTATTCACTGATAAATATCCTAAAAGCCATGGAAATGTTACAGGAAATGCACACCACAAACTGTTTTGAATAATTTTTCATAGAAAATTATACCCGTTCTAGAGACGATAGAGCTAGGTCTATAAAACACCGATTTGAAATTTGCAGTGCAATCGAATCAGGTTTGGAAAACTTTTCCACATCCAGCGCTATAACTATTGTAGTTATGTCAATGATTACGCCTTACTTGATGGGTAGTAGGTGAGGTGTGATATCTACCCTATTAGTCCTAATATCGCTCATTGTACTCGTTAACTTTGGATAATTTATCAAAGAAGGAAGCGTTAGCCATAGAACCATTTTAATATGAATTACAGTAAATAAATATTCGGTGAAGTTTAAATAGTTTTTCAAATTTCTCACAGAATATTTATTTTTGTTTACATTAATTACTTTTGAGTTAAAGTCTAAATTTCTAGACCGCAGATCTTGAGTTTACTGTATTTGCTACCAAATTTTTAACTTGGTTTCTGGGCTGACACGTGGAGCCTGCTGGTCAAACATTAATGACCTGTCAAAAGACTTCTAAAGTCAAAAAGTGTTCACTGTTGTTAAATTGCTATTGATGGTAGAAGTGCATTAGTTATGTTTTAACATACTGTTGAATGTTAGTTTTAAGCTGTTTTTACTTTGGTAAGGGCTGCATAATTTGACATTTTACCGCATAACCATTGCATAATATTTGTTTCTGCAATTAGCAGCAGTTTTATGACGCATAATTTCATATTGTTGGCCGCATAAAATTCGGGGCCATGTATCATTTGGTGGTCCAATGCAATTGCTCATATTACGATGAATTTTCCTCGTTTACAGAAAGAAATATCTCTTGAAAAACGATTCCTCGAGCAAACTGGATCAGACCATTCAAGCAAGTAAAGATGAAAATCTGTTTATGATGAGAACACGCCGTACTGATTCAGCTGGGCAGATTTCAGCAGAGAAAAACTCCGAGTTTGAGAGGTAATGTCATCATGTTCGCATGTAATCGTACAGTTGGATACATAATGTTTACAGTGTTTAAATATGTGTGCGTGTGTGTGTGTGTATGTAGTTTACATCCAGGCTACATCACAAATCCTCGTGCTAACGTATGTTGTAGAAGCATGTTTTAAAATTTCAACACAATTTACTGGAACAAAAAAAGTACAATTTTTTTTATGTAGATGTATCTGATAGGTCAGACCAAACTAACGTTAGTCATGTGATACTTGTTAGAAGTGTTTATTGTATAGAATCTTTGAAACTTACTTTGCACGTGCATCACACAATCAAACTATACACCAAGAGACAACTGAGGGATACATTCGTTAAGAGAATACCTAATACAATAATTGTAAAACTGATTTAATAATTTATTGTTATTCGTGTTATTTTCTTAATAAAGCTTTTTTAATGTGATACTCTTATTATATTCTTAGTGACTATTGTTTTGAATTGGTCGTAAAAAAAACCTTCCAGTATAATCTAATGTAGTGATGACATAAACAGTGGAGACGTCTGGTTTTATATAAACTTAAAAACAATACGAGAATTTTAATTAACATTTGGGTCGCTAAAACTTAACTAAAGAACGAGAACATCCAGTAAAACGAAAGAACAAACAATATATATATGTTAACGAATTTTAAGCTCGGCCTAAAGAAGTTGTATATTTCTTTTATAAGGAACTCACTGAAAATATAACGGATCCATAATTTGAATATTAAGCTGTACTATACCAGTCTCGCAGCCTTTAGTAACTGACTATAAAACAATAAGGACCCTGTTACTCTCTGCTCTAGAACGTACTTTTTTTCCTGATAGTTTAGCAAGACAAATTTCCGTTAAAAGCTGCGAGGAAGTGCCATTAGAATTCGACTCCCAGAGTTCATTGGACGATGATGGATTGACGGAACAAGGAAGCGATGATGGTGGAAACTTGGGTATTCATGAACACTGGGCTGTTCGAAACAGAACATTGTAAGCATTTTAAATATTTATATTAATATAGACGATTAGATGAAATTATATATATTATCACAAAAATATTTAACAAATTATAAAACCTAAATAGTTAGCCCGATTTGATTTCTAGAGCGTCTTGAGAATCCCTAAGTTAATCCAATTCCTGTCAAACTCCCAAGTAAAATTAAACTTTAATATTTTACACACAGATTAAAACATGTTATAGTCGTCCGCCTTGCAGAGCAATAATAGTTTTTGTGTATTTCTGATTGCAAAACTTTCAAGCTTGAAGGCTGAGAAGTGATATGCAACCTGTTGCAAGTTTATTAGTGTCGCCATCTGTCCGAATTATAGTACGTCATTGTTGCCATTCGTATAAACATGCTAATTCTGTAGGCTAATAATCCCAACCTCTTGCGAATTTTAGTGTACAAAAGGATAATTGTTTTATTTAAAAATCATTTGCATATTATCCTGATTTTACTTTAAAAAAAAAACTATTAAAAGCGTAAAAGCGGGATATGTGAATTTTTTTTTGTTTTTTACTCCATAGGGATAAATCTTCTATAATTCGTAAGATTTTTTGGGAGATGAGAGAGTGGGACAACACAACTTTACAATCAAGACTTCGGCTGATCCTCAGTGTTATCCTAGTGTTGGCGGGAGTCTTCAGTATTGTAGCAACGCTTGTACCCGTCCAAGCTACTACAGCTTGCCCTCAAACATCCAACACTTCCTTCCAGAATATTCTCCGGGTTTTCTTTGGCCCTTACCTGTCCCTGACCCATAATCCTTTGTAAAGATCTAAAACGTGCATCTGATTTTGTTATTTTTCACTAATCTTTCTCTCAAATTGTATTTGGCTTTTTCTTCTTTCTTTCTTTCTTTCTCATAATTCTTTAGAAACTTTAAAAAGACACATTTTGTTTGGTTTCTACGTCTTCAAAACAATTTTTTAACGTTTTTTGTAGGGAATGAATATCTTAAAAGAATGAGTAATGCGTTAGTTTTCTCTGTCTGCTATAATGCATCCTAGTTACGTCGAAACTGTAGGAAGATCTTACTATAACAAAACCACACAGGCTTATATGTAGGCGTATTAGGAAAGGTGGTTCAGAAGTTGTATTCTGCTCTACTGTATGAATAAGACATTGTTATAGTTGCATAAAAATCTTCATGTAAATATCCTAAACACCTGTAAAATAGAATAACTTTGTATTTAAAAAGTACGTTATCATAACTGTTTTAATTTCACAAAAGTATCTAAGCCTTTGTGAGTGAGAACTTTGTTGTGATATGATGATTATTTCAAGCGTGTTATTGTAAAATAACCTTCAGTCCGATTTTGAGCTATTGCATTCATTTTCATAGTAAATATTTCACTGTGTTGTAAGACGTTTTATAACTCTAGATTATCAGCTTTATGGCAAGTGTTTCCCATGTACAATGTTAGCATCGTGAGTAAATTTGTTAAAAATAAAGAATAAAACTAGGCATTCTTTTTATATACATACATGTATGCAGGAATATTTTTTACAAACTTTACTTTTTTTTGGTTCAGTCAGTTATTTCTTAACATTGAATTCAGAAAATATAATTCGCAAATGTAATATGTGTATTAACAGTATATTTTAAGTAGGTTAATAAATTAGCAAGTATATTTAGTTTATTCTGATTTTGAAACAGTGTTTGAGTTTTAAGGTTAAATATTGCTGTAGCTTGAGACCATTTTATTCTATACTTTGTTTTGCTAGTGCTATAATTTTTATAGCAATTTTTAGTGAAAACGATAAATGGGCATTACCCAAAGTTATTGACTGTCACTTATTGCTGTTTTAATAATGGCACAAAAATATTTCTGTATGTGCCATTTAAGTCTAAACTGTAATTTCACAAAAGTGTGTGTGTGTGTGTGCACGCGCATCCGGTTATAATTGGTGAACCGCTGAACCGATTTTCACTAAACCCTTCATACTTCCTTAGGAACCCCTGGGGAGTAACATAAGGGGTTGTCGTACGGATTTCACCCCCCCTCTCTTATAACACCCACGGAGGCCCCTTCATGTCATTCCTGTGTTTTGAATGGATAAGTCAGTTAGTAACTTTTATTTTATCATAATATTTCAGGAAGTGTCTTATCTGTCTCTTTGTATAAAATTAGATTGACAAACTAAAAAGTTTTTTCACTAGTCTGTTTGATCAAACCCTACACTCACAAGTTGCACATTTTAGTAGATGAAATTTCTAATCTTTCTTAAACCTTATCTATACTAGAACTGAGAATGAATAAATAATGTTGCGCTTTTATTATTACTTCAAGAAGTTGTATTTTGTGTGTAATAAACTGCTTTTAATTATACGTGTGGGTTTTAATTTTCGATGTTATTGATCGCAGTAATTAGTTTATCAAACAAATACTGACAGCTAAACTTTGACATATAATGTTCAACTTAACTTGAGAAACCTGAGAAATGAAGGCTTCGGAAACTGATGATGGAATAAGTAAAGACAAAAAAAAATTACCAGTTAGTGAGCTAATGCTATAAGAAAGTGAATTACGTGAAAACCTGTACACTTACAGGCCAAAGGACCCTACATAACATTTAGAACATTCCCTATTTTTGCTTACTCGAAATGAGCAATCTTGTGATGTGTTGTGTGATTGCGTAAGTATTAAAAATGCAGGTCACATTATAGTTCCTAAGAATCTAAGACTCTGAGTAAGAGCAAGTGTCTTTCTACCCTTCAAGGAAGCATGACGGTGAGTGCCAATTGTTGAAAAACACGTGTAATCGGTTTGGGTTTGTTTTGAATTTCGCGCAAAGCTACACGAGGCTATCTGCGCTAGCCCTCCCTAATTTAGCAGTGAAAGACTAGAGGGAAAGCAGCTTGTCATCACCACCCACCGATGGCAACTCTTTTACCAGCGAATAGTGGAATTGATCGTCACATTATAACACCCTCACGGCTGGCTGAAAGGGCGAGCATGTTCGGTGGGGCGGGGATTCGTGTAATCGGAGTTTATTAGTATTGGATTTGCAGTCAAAGAGGAACATGCATCAATAAAAATAAAAAAAAATCCTATGGATGTCTGCCACTGGTGACAGAAAAGAAGACTGAAGAGTTGGATATTCACCGGACTCTTTCCAATTGCCAAACCCTTGAATAGTAAATTCAACTATATTCAACAGTACTGTGCGAAAAGACATCGGTGAAAAGCATCATATGGCAACTGACAATCGGTAGGAGAAGGGGAAATCATAGTTTCAACTATGTTTGAAACACAAACTGCACACGCAGGATAAATGGAAACGTTTAATGAAGCACTTTTAACCTGGTCCTATGTTAAAGTTGGTGACACTTGTGCTGGTTCGACAGTGCAAGTCTCTGTAGGTTGTGTGATAGTGTAGGGAACGTTTCCGTGACAGTATTCAACCATTTATTTCTACAGGGTGTTTCAGAAGTCGATGAATATAATCGAGGAATTTTGTAATACTTTTTTATTTCTTTGTCTCTTAAATAAAGATTATTGGTGAACACTTAAAGTTGATGCAGATTGAACGTCTTCAGCACTGTATTTATTTTGAGAATACTCTGTGAACGTTTATGAACATTCAGCCCATTACAACGGACTTTTAAGACTCCCTGTATAGAAAAACAAGCAGAATTCATTGAACGTTTTTTTTTTTTACCTTGATGGACAAGAGACCTTTCAAAAACATGCTTGTTTTGTTCGAAATTAGTCCTAAGACAACGACTTCAATCATCTTCTTTGTCTATTACAATCAAAATTCCGCGAGTGAGTATCTTTTGGGCGTACTTTAAGAATTTAGTAATTATAATATGACTACTAAATCAAGACACACGGTGGTGTCGTGTGGCCAAAAAAGAAAAAATGACTCGTGGCACATAGTATGTTATTTACAGGAACCAACGATTTGCGATTTTTAGCTCTGTAACTTAGTATTCCCTCCATTAAAAATTCTGAAATTTTCACCTGTAATGCCTCCTAGTTTACTTACCTCGCATTCCAAATTTCAAGAACATCCTTGCAGCCACAACTGAGATATGCGAGCCAAAGTTCATCTGATTTTCTTCATTGTCATCTTTTACGCACCAAATTGTACGGAATTTTTAAGATTTAAAAACATACTTCCAAAACTTAGATTTTTATGAAATTTGGTACTCATTTAACATACCGTTTACTCTACGCCTGTACAAAATTTCGCGCAAATCAAACAACGTTTAACTGTTACAGTAAGAAGAACGTCAATTTTTGAAGGATTTTTGCTCAGATCTGCAGAAAAAATAGTAAATTAAATGGTTCTTAAGTTACTTACAAGAATTCCCCTGATTTTAATTTGGAAATCGACAGTTATCCAGTTTTTATTGGATCTCGATTCTTGGAATTACAGGCGAAATGAAAATCTGCTGTTATCTGGTTTTTATCGGATTTCAATTGACCAGGCCTACAACTGGAAAATATGTATACATCTTATTCTACATCCTAAATCACACTGTCTCTTCAATATGTGATAGTTTGTATATGTAAATAACAATATAATATTGTAGTTTGCCACTTTGAAAGTATTTTTTATTTTTCAGTTTCTCTGCATGGTGAACATTCAACCGATATTAGGCCACTTGATGCTTGACGTGATAAATCCGTGTACGCAAGTGTCTGTAAAATCCATGCATTTACAGCTCACACTTGAACGTGTATGAATTTTTTAGGCTTTGTTGATTACAAAAAATTGTGATGATATCCAAAACAAACGCATCCCAGCTCTGGGGGAAAAAATGGCTGCGACTAAAAGATGTGAAATCAAAATTGACGGTCAATTGATGATAATGAACATTTTAATGATGATAATTCAGACAAACATTGTGTTACAGACTCCTAAGACTATTTTTATTATTTGAATAATTTTTAGCTTAGTCTTAATAATTAAAGAATGCTTAACCGTATATGGTAAGCTGATCAAAGCAAGATATTTAGAAACTTCAAGTATAAATAAGTTTACTAACATTTTGCTTATACACCAGGACACCATTTTCCTTATGGCATGTCAATGTCGTCGCGAGAACGAGGTTAAGCGTTTTGACGAGTAAACAAAGCAGATTCTCTTCATTCATTCTACCACTAACTCTAACAATTACATAAGTCATCAGGCGGTTAAACATGGAGATCCACACACAAATATAACTTATGAAATCTCACTCCTTTCAAAGGTAAAATTTAATAGTACACGTGGGTCTTTTAAGAGTAAAATAAGATGTATAATTACAGCCCTATGGGCAATAATAGAATATTTTTAGGACTATTATAGTTAACAACCAGCTCTATACTTTACATCTGGCTGTATGTGAACAAACCTATTCCATATAATTTCGAGCTACCCCTTCCAATTATATTCTTATGTTTGTTTCAGAAAATATTTACAATACCTAGGACTTAAAACAGGATAAAATATAAACATAGGAAAAGGTTACTGCTTATATAGATGATGGTAAAGGTGGAGATTTGGTGTATCTGTATTTTCAGAAAGTATTTGACAAGGTGTCGCATAAATGGCTTGTACAAAAAAAAAATATATCTATAGCTGTGGGAGATAAGTTAGCGAATTGGATAGAAGAGTGGCTAGATGCAAAAAAGCAGAAGGTTGTTATAAATCGAGTTCAGTCATACTGGATTAATGTCACAAGTGGGGTACGTCAGTCTTAGGACCTTAGCTATTTTTGATTTGTATTAATGACATAGATGAAGGAAGGGTCAATAAATTACTTAAATTTGCTGACGATATTAAGGTATTTGGTGTTGCTAACTTCGAAAAGGATGCTGTTGCTTTACAAAAGTATTTAAATCATTTAGTGAGTTGGATGAATAAATGGCAGAGGGGTTTTTAATTATAATAAATACAAGATAGTGCATGCGGGGTTATCGTAATGTGTATTATAAGTATAATTTGGATGGGTATACCCTTAACAGTGTTTTAACCTTAATACTGTCAAATGCTTTCTGAAAATCCAGATAAATCAAATCTATACCCTTAACCTCATCTACATAAACAGTAACCTTTTCAAATAACGTCAAAAGATTTGTAAGGTAAGGTTTCCCTTAGTGAAACCATGTTGACTACCCAATAAAATTCTAAACTTTATTAAATGGATTTGTAAAGAAGCTTTTATCAGATTTTCCCACAACTGATGCAAGACTAATAGTAACAAGCCTAAACTTACTGGGTGATAATATAGTGTAACTGTGCTAATTATTGGCTTTAATGCTCTGTTATCATAATGATTCCATAATATTAACTTAAAAGCTACAAAACTTTTTCGGATAATTTGACATAAAAAGTGATTTGAATGCATACAGATGAGTATTTAAGCATATCTACCATACCATGTCAAAAGCCCAATGCTGGTTTGTTTACTCGTCAAAATATACGCGGTCAATATGGCCGCCGAACCGTCTCCTGGTGTATTCGAATAATTACGAAGTATTCTATCTATGATATAAATGTGAAAATCATTTTTTTTATAAGACTTCTTTGATGTTATTAAATTCTTTATGCAAAACCTCATTCCTTCTAGTTATTTTATATGCACGATAAAATAATAGTTTAATAATATTTTTCTTTATACTATTTAGAATCAAATTTGCAAAATTATTATTACTAATTAAAGTGTCCAGAAATTAACGTTTATAATATTGATGTTCCATTGTTAACTTTCAAAAGTAGACATAGCAGTATAAAATATTGGAGAGCTTGATCAGAGTTCTTAAAGATGGTAAATGTGTCATCCATGTACCTATGCTGGTAAAGTGGTTCAACTTTTTCGATGGGTAGGCCTGATATGGTTTGATATTAAGGCGCTCGACTAGCGATCCGCGGGTCATGGAATCGAATCCCGTCACCAAACATGTTCGGGGACGTTATAAGGTGGCGGTCAGTCCCAATTTATGTTTGTAAAGGGTAGTCCAAGCGTTGACGGTGAGTAGTATGGACTAGTTGCCTTCCCTCTAGTTTAGCTTCTAAGTTAGGGACGGCTAGCGCAGATAGCCCTCGAATAGTTTTGCGCGAAATTCAACAAACAAGCTTTGCGAGCAATTTTCTAACTACTGTTTTTTATAATCATACAGAAATAGATTGACCAAAGAAGGCACCAATCTCGAACCCATAGCAACACTGTCAATGTGATTATAAAATTTGTCATTTAGAAAAAAGTGCGATTCTTTTGTGGCGAATGTATTAATTCGAAAAAAAACTGATTTAGGAATGTTCATGTTGTGTAAATTATCATTATAAATCAGATCAGTATTTAACTGTATGATTTCTTCTAAAGATATATTTGTAT